AAGTGGCGTAGCCCATTCTAATTGGTATGGACATGTTCCGCACGGTTCATAGATGTATTTTCTTTTGAGATAATCGGCGAATGGCCAGAAATGGCCGAATTATGGTCAAAATTCGAAATTTATACATAGCGTTTAATGCATTGAGAAACATTCAGGTGGATATCATTTTGGTGAATGGTCCAAGTTTTGTGTGAATCACCACTTTTCTATGCATTAAACGCTATGTATAAATCTCGAATTTTGACCATAATTCGGTCATTTCTGGCCATTCGCCGATTATCACAAAAGAAAATACATCTATGAACCGTGCGGAACATGTCCATACCAATTAGAATGGGCTACGCCACTTATCTTCCAAAATAATTCCTTTTAAGAATAAATACCAAAAAATAGTTAATTGACATTTTAATTATTGAAATATTCAAAAATCGAAATTATAAAAATACTGGCAATAATTTCTCAAATAATTCATACGTGATAGAAATTACAACAAATGGCATGCAATCAAGTCATTATGTATTGGAGACAATGAATATATTATTTTCACTGACGATAAATTGAAAAACACACGTATATTCAGTATACAGAATATTCCGCACATACAGTCTAAATGATATATCTTTCATAATCATAAGTTTGCTTATGAACTGTGAAATCGATATTTTGAATAAATAAAACATCATTAAAAATGAGAGATAGATATAATGAAAAACAAAAAATAATTTTTAAATAATAAGAAAAAACATAAGTCAATAGTGAAAGAGAGATTCGCAATCTCTTTAAAGTAACTCATAATATAATATGCAAGACAGCAATTAACTGTCCATGAACATTAAAAACTATTAATTAATAATTAGTGACAGTAATTCACATCTATATTTTACAGAATATTCTGTGAATTGTTTGTATTAACGCAAAAATACTATTTATAGCATCTCTTACGACAACACATAATATTTATTATAAAACTCTATAATCAAAGGTAAAGATGATATCAAACACGACGACATCGGCGGACATCACGACAGCCAAAACTAGTACTTCAGCCAAAAGTGAAGACTCGCGGATCACTCTATCGGAGTCACCGGAAGAGGCGTTCGCCCCACACGACGACGCCATAGTGCCGGCGCCCAAACCCCGCAGCGCTCACAGCGGCAGCAAATACATCAAAGGCTTGCAAACCAATAAAGTGTTTCCCCAGAAATTGCCGCCCATTACCACCAAAATCAAGAAGGTTAAGAAAATGAGCAACAAAATCAATTCAGGTAATTAATTTTCATACCTAATAATAATGATAATGTAAATAACCTTCGTGCTATTTATGGTAAATGTTATTTAAATGCAAACAAATTATTTTTACTGTTATTTAAAGGCCGACTGTCGGAGTCGGTGACGGATGGGTTTCACGTTTCGTGGACTAATCTGTCATATATAGTGGAAAAGTCGTCGTTCCCCTACCTGTCCAACGCTCACATACCTAAAGTACGGGTTATATTGAAATGTCTCAGCGGTTCGTTCAACAGCTCGGAGCTGACGGCAGTGATGGGGCCGTCCGGCGCCGGAAAGTCCTCGCTATTGGCCTGTGTTTGCGGCAAACGTACGACCGGTGTGTCCGGCGATATACGGATCGTGGGCTGCAAACGGATCAAAGTGGCGATAATCGCTCAAAACGATTACTTGACCGACAAGTTCACGCTCCGGGAGGCGCTTCTGTTTGCCTCCAAAACCAAGAATGGCCTCAAGAAAGTGGATCACGAAGAGGTGATCAATAACGTGGTGAACGCGCTGTCGCTGGAGACCTGTCTGGACAACCGTCTCGGGAAGTGTAGCGGCGGTCAACGGCGACGGGTGTCGATCGCACTGGAGTTGGTCTCCAATCCCAATATCCTAATACTGGATGAGCCGACCTCTGGTTTGG